CGTTCTTCCAAGATTTACAGGTTCAGTAACTCCAGGGATTTTGATGTCGCTACCTCCTACTATTTTCTGGGCTGACATTATTGTTGCTGTTACTTCCTTTTTAAATAACAAAGAGAAAAGTGTACAGCAAGAAAGAAACAAAAGCTTTGTGGTTAGTCTGAAAAACATCAAATACTCAGTCCATAAAGTCTTTTTTTTTTTTTTTAAGACAATGTTACCCCATTCTAGTCAGTTTGGAATTTCTCACATGAGGTGTACACGGGAATAATAATAATAATAAAAAAAACAATTTTTAGAACAATGCGATTTCTTGTTTTTATGATTCTCAGAACACGGTGACTCTGCAATTCATGAAGTTATGATAGATTACTGAGTTACAGCATTTTGATAGCAGCAAAGACATAAAAGTACTTTTAAAGAGAAAAAATCTTATTAGCATGTGTCAACTTTTTTTTTATTTCAATGAACCTGTCATGACAACCTTCCTATTCCTAGGATTTCATATACCATTTTTTACTATGTATCATAGTCTACCTTCTTTCAACTAATTCTAACTAATGAGTATTTTTTAAACAGTCTTACATATTGTTTACTTGGGTTACAATAATATATGCAATGCCTATGTTCTACTTTCTCAAATAAAATATTGCAATAATTCAGGACACTTATGACACTGCACTTTTTTACTATGGCTGTTGCTCTTACCTGTGTTGTCCGATCAAGCTCAAAAAGAAAGTTTGTAGATGATAGTGGCTGTGTTTGCGTGGACTGATTAGGTGGAGGAGGCTTACGTAGATATATTGCTTCAAAAATGCTTTCAAATTGGGGCTTATCTTCTGGTAAAACTGTAAACATTGGTGAATCCCACCTGTGTGTAATTAAATATTTAAACTTTAGAATATGACTATTTTTTAATCACTTAAAAATTATACAAATGTCTATAGTATATTTGCTTAATATTTCAGTGAAGTAAGGCTCTTGAAATTTTGTTTTATTCAAGCATATGTATGTAAATACCCAACTATACCAAAAAGCCAAAATAATAACTTATTGCTAAGCTTTAATAATTTGTATAATACTAATGCATATGGAACAAAGTTATATGAATACCTATTGCTGCTATTAGGTTCCTCATATCTCATGACAAGGCCATCAAAAACCTCACGGGTATATTGTTCATCCTCAACTCGATTTTCATTCCATGACCAAGCTTGTTCAGTTGGGACCAAACAGTGAACAATACAATGCGGTGTTTTGTTGTGTTTTGTTGCACAATACAATTCATATCTGTGGAAGAATTCAAATCTAATTATAATAGTAAACATAAAATACTCTTTAATGGATGTGATTACATTTATTTGTTAAATTATTCTTAAAATGACAAACTTATAATTATTAATTAACAACTAAATAAAAGATTGTGAAAAAAAAAAAAAAATTCAATTACACACCATGCAGCCATTTAATAAATGTATTTGCTTACATCACTTCTTACCTGTAGCCTTTGATGTAATTCCCTGCATCAAATATTGTAACATCATCTTTATTCAACAGTCTTATTATTTCTGCCTTCATAGCCCCTCTTAGGTCCTTCTCACGTCTAGAATCGCTAAATATGGCATTTTTTTCCTGTAAGATATATATTTTTATTAATCTACTGTTGCTTGGGATGACATGTCAACTACTCTTACTCATAAATGGCTCCTATAGCTCTTAGTCACTAAGGAGTCAATTATTAGTCCTATCTGTTTTTTGGAAATATTTTATATATTTTTTTGCTATTAGTATTGTTAATAATATTGTAATGATCATCATATCAATATTAATATTATTGCTTTTAATAGCATTTGCAAAACATTTTTTCCTGTAAACTCAAGAAAAGTGAAAATCAGCTGAGGTCAGGTAGGGTCTACTAATTGTCTCCTTGGTGGCTGAGCACTTATGTAGCCATCTATAGATAAAGGCAATTCACAAAACGAAGCTACAGTGGATGTTACATTTTCTTGGTGACAATGGGTTAATAATGCCATGTGATCAGAATATAGCATAATCTACTGGTGTGGGATGGCAGTTTTATATCAACCACTTTTGGTAATACCAAAGGTCAAATATGAATACCTTTGGAATATGACTGGGCAGTTCTCAATTTAAGTACAAGGAAGGTAACACATGTCATAAAATTATAATGTACAAAACAAATCCCATTTTATGATCAGCTTGAAGAACAAACACTTCATAAAGGGTTATATGAATGTGTACTTATGATTGTAAAACCACTGCCTAAAGCCCATCTCTTTTCCAAGTTTGTTATATTCTCTTTTTCAAAGATATAAATAAGACAGTAAAAAGGGGATATGCAGATGAATAAATTCAAATACCGACTAGGGCATTGCTTACCAAATGGTTATTTTCACATTTTCAAGTATATGCGTACCCAGTGTGGATGCTAGATCCAGCTAATTTATTTCCATAAATGATTTTAAAAAGTTACTTTTTTATGAATATGAGTGAAAAAGCTGCTGTGCGATGTACAAAGCCAAGGTCATAGTTTTTGACTTAGGAAAATGAAATTTGGTTCATTTGCTTCAGAAAGACTAAGAATGGGTGACTTCACTGATACTTTTTATTTTTTAATTCTGACTTTGTATTTCCACTACAACACTTCAAAATTGAGTATGGGTTGTGTGGCATTTAGGCACAGTGCTTTGAATTCTGTAAACAGTAGGTTAGGGTCAGTATGGAGGCATGGGCTGTTTCTAGTAGTTACCAAGTTCCATTCATGGATGTGTACAATGTGGGAATTTATGACATTTTATGAGAAATCATCTATAACAAAGAAACAGAGATCAAAGGTCTACACACATCATCCCTCCCTCTCCCTGTCTCTCTTTCTCTCAATCATATGTTCATTTATTTTTTTCTCTCCCTCTCCCTCCTTCCCCCAATCTTCCCCTCCCCCCTCTCTCTCTCTCTTTTCCTCTACCACAGGTATTCAAAAGCTGACATCTGATAGTCCTGTATAACAAACAAAAAGGGAGTCTGTGATGTACCATACATATCACATTATTATATCATTGAAGTCGTGCAATACAAGTGTTTTGTTACCCATTCCACTATAACTGTGTTTTTACAGGTGGTATTAATATATTCTTGGAAACAATAGAAAAGTACAAAAAATAAACAGAGAGTGATAATAAAGAATTTCCGGACTGTTGTGACTCAAACAAGTAACTGCTTCATATAATTTAACTAAGCAACTCTATGATCATTATAAGGAAATGATGGCAGAGTTACAAGTATTTTTATTCTACTGCTGCCACCATTTGTAACTGTTCTGTTATTTTCTTTGAATACACATAGAGTTGCTTAGCACACACACACACACACACACACACACACACACACACACACACACACACACACACACACACACACACACACACAGAGCAGTCTTACTAATCTCTCACAGTCCTCTTAATTTCAGCCTTGTTCATGCTCTATTACAAAAATAATATAAATATCAATAAGAATATAATGAACACTAGTAATAATAAAATATACAACAAAAGTATGGTCATAATATATTATATCTTTATAATAACCTGAAGATTATAAAAGGATTAACATTTCTAACTACTTTAACATTAACTTGTATGGTATATCACACACCACCAATTTGTTATATGGGACTACTGAATACTTGTTTTTAAGTCCCTGTAACAGAGAGAGAGAGAGAGAGAAAGACAGAGAGAGAGAGAGAGAGAGAGAGAGAGAGAGAGAGAGAGAGAGAGAGAGAGAGAGAGAGAGAGAGAGAGAGAGAGAGAGACAGAGAGACAGAGAGAGAGAGAGGGAGAGAGAGAATTTTACTTTTATTTTTTGTTTTTAGATAATCCCACTGAAATATGTGTTTCCATAATAATAAACAACCAAAAGATCTTCTATTACATACATAATGAAATGTTATAGAGCAAACTTCTTGTTTTGGAGGTTAATCTCTTGGGTCAACAGCCCTCTAAAATATTCAGGAGGGGGATGGCAAGGGCAGTGACCCTGTCTAAAGGCTGAAAATGATCCAATATGAAATAATTATCTTAATTTACCAACACTCAGAAGACATATGCGAAATTCTTGTATAATTTTTAAAAATGCATTTTTCTTATTGTTCAATCACTCTTTAGTTATTGAGAAAAAAGAAAGAAAAAATAATAAAATCTTATAAAAAGGACTGTAAACTCAATGAACATAAATATATTATTTGACTAATATGCACTAATAATCTTTCCTAAAAGCACTCATTTATATATATAAAAAAAGTTCAATTTAAGTTCCTGCAAAAAACAAAATATATCTTGGTATACCTTGAAAAAACTGACAATTGTAACAAAACAAAGAAACATTAAGACATAGAGGAAATAATCAGTAGACTATATTTTTAGAGTCTTACAAGGAGATTTTTACTGTTGCCAGTAAATGAATCAATAGACTGATGTAATATAAGCCACTTCATTATGATATTTCTGCCATAGGCTGAAATAAGGAGGATATTTGATATAGAAAATCATATTTGCAGAAGCTCTGGTCTTCCTTCCCTAATAAATAACTACATTAGCAAAGCCCCCAGGAAGGAAAGTCTTTTGGTTACATCAAAGGTCACACACAGCACTATGGAAAAGTATTGGGGCAAAAAGGGTAAATATGAGTTAACAATTTGGATAAGTGGACAGAACTATTGATCTTTAGAAGAAAAAAAAACTTTAAAAAAAAGAAAAGAAAAAAGAAAAAAAGAAAAAAGAAAGAAAGAAAGAAAATATATACTTACATCAATGTCTTAGTCAGTAGTAAGGGCAGTTTCATTTTACTTATCATGAAAAAATGTGTATCTACTGGCAGTGGTACAGAATAATGATCATACAAAAAGGAATAAATCTACAGGCTTTCTTTTTGGCCAACTGACATTTGGTACAAAGGCAAAAGTTGTGATGGCTATGAATGTAGTATCCATGATGTGAGTAAATTATACATAAATTATGCATAAATCAACCAAATATTTGAGTCCTCACATGCAAAATCTCTATTCCCCCCAAGTCTGCTGGATGAAATGGAGAATGCCAATTATGGTTTGTGGCGAAATCACCATCATGTCAGTCCAGATCAAATAAAATTTCATCAAGAAATCAGGATTTTTTTTAGTCAATCATGGTTGTCACAAACAAAATATTTAACAATAACAATCTGTGCATGACATGGAAGCAGTGCTGCTTTATGTGGTCCTGCTATAGATAGTTACCTATGTCTCCTATAAACAATTTCTTATATCCAATTCAAAAGTTACACACAGATGGCATCATGTGTAGGTGTCATGTAGGGGAAGAAGGTATGTGGTGCATATCGTCAATGGCACTCAAAATCGTCATTATTTCTTACCTTATTGAGAAAATCATTCTCGCTCACGATGGTAACAGTCTTATTTTTTTCATTTTCGAAGTACTCTTTTAGTTCCAAACTCCTTTTAGTTTTTCCACTTGATGGAAATCCACATAGCATAATAAGAGGCATGCTGATGGACCAAACACGAGTGACAAGTATAAATTCAGGATTTATGCAATATGACAGGAGAATCAGAAAATCATAGAGTATCAAGCTTTATCCCACTTTGATTTCAATTGTGTAACTTATAAGTAACTTGGCGTACATAAGCATATTGCTGAAATATGATATTCATATATGTGTGAATGTAATAGTTATCGAAATACTTATTTTTACCCCTCCGTATAGCAACTATTTTCTGGAACAATTTTAAAAATGAGGTATATTTGTGATATCATAGTAAATTTATTCATTGTAATTTATAAGTATAGCAGATGGAAAGTATATGTAAATGTCCTGGATAACATCAGGAGGGCATGGGATTCAGAACTGCAGACGGAAACACTCTCAATGGTATACTGCATTTGACATTTTTATTCTAAACAATTGAGGTGGGAATGGCCTCGTTTTATTGGATGAGAAAACATGTTGGGCTTGCTCATTCCGCTTTTTTTCGATAACTATCTTGTTTTAGTCCAAACTTGTACACTCGCTATTTTTGCTGACAACGGAAGCGGTAATTATATAATAAACCTTCAAACTAATAGACCAACTCGCATAATGTAACTTAAGTCTTAAATAAATTCCATGTTACTGATGGTGTTGTCTGACAATTCAAGTAAATTGTCGAGGATACATCAAAGGTTTTGAAATGTCTAATACTTTTAACATTTCGTGTTACCGCCACCAGCTTGGCGAACGCTGGCAAGTCTACGTGGAATGGATGCCACAAACGTCGCCATTGACTGGCGTCGTCTGCAGAGCGCAATCGTTCCCATGTCACAATTGCTTGGGCAACGATGATAAGACGATTGCAGATACGACCTTAGGGAAAGTCTCTGCACATGGCTGCCCAAACATTCTCAGTGGGAATGAGATCTGAGAAACTGCGTGGATGTGGCAAAGGAATCTGCAGAAACCGTTTTTTGTGGTGATTTCTGACAGTTCGCATGCTGTAGCATAATGCCAAGTCCCGCCAGATGTTGCCAGTAGAACAGAAATGGACCCGTGCAGCAGTATTGGCCTGTTAAAAAAAATAATAATCAAAATAAAAAATTCCTTAGGGTAATGGGACGTGGTAACTAACTACCGACCACTCCCCCTTCTCAAACCAAGTCAACTATGGGGGGGTGTTGCCATTGAGTATTACATGATTTTCATTAGCTCATAGTATCCATGCACTTGCATGTAAGCTTCCTACTTGCCTTTCGAATAGCACATGTATTTATGTATTTAAGACATACTTGATCTTCCTCAATCGCCGTGCATTTAAGGCGCTCACTTCTAGCCTCGTTTCTGATGAAGGTAGTTTCTTGGTGTCCCTGGAACCACAGGAAAACGGTTGTCTACGTAATACCTAATCTTGATATGGTGGCTCTCGATAATCCTGAGTAAAGCACAAGCATGGCGTACGAATGGTCCCAGAGGTCTGTATTGCTAACATTGCCATGATAAAAGGTCTTAGCAACATCAACTCCGAAAGACTATCCGAACATGTTATGAAGCTTCATCTATTATGATCTTTGAAAACAACAGTTATCAACTTTTCTGGATAAACATGAAGAGGAGAATGGATATTGCTAAATACCTTGAAAGTAGAGGGAATATGCATAGAGGGATTGGAGGGAGGTGAAGGAGCGGAGCATTCTCTTGGGTCATGGTTGGGAAATTTTAAATGTCTTCAAGAGTTTCCGGAGGGGGTCGGGGAGGGGGGGTCTGAGAAACAAAGGTTTTCTTGTGAGGAGGAGAAGAGGGGATAGATGTCCGAGAAGCAGAGGAAGAAGTTGGTGTAGGAGAGCATTTGGTAGGAGATTTGGTAGAACGTATAGATTGCTTGGTGTGACAGGTAAAGTGTTGAGGTGGGGGGGGGTAGGCAGGTAGGGGAAGTGGTAGAGATTACAGTATCTGGATTCAGACCAGGGACTTCATTTCAGTTTTTTTCTTTTTTGGGGAGGGCAAGGTTGGCGAGCGAAGTGGGCACAGTTTCTGGGGAGTTGTACTGTCACTGCATCATAGTCGACAATGCAGGCAACCAGACGTTTTTACAGTCTGACCAGTCTGTCAGAGACAAAACAAACCAGTCGGGGAGACGGAGACAATTACGGTACAAGTATTAAGGGAGGAGTAAGATTGGGTAGGCAGAAGTTTACCAGTGAAGTCAGTCAGGGTAAATAGTGCACGAGCTTGGGATGACTCGGAATAGACAGAGTTGACAGCAAACATCAAGGTGGGGATTATTAGTATTAGTGGTCGGACTCGTGATCAGGAGAGAGGCAAGAATCGGGAAACCAAAGAAATCAAATTTAGATAGGCTTGTTGATGAAGGACCAAGTCTTAATGCGCTTAATAAGGGTAAATAATCTTAATTGTCAGTCATGGTTAATCGCCCTCAGGTACGATTAACCAAGGGAATACTGTGCTCATGGCTCCCGGAGGCCGATCAGGATTGACACAAAGCCAGCCTGTCATCCTTTCAGCACGCCCCTCACACCTTAGGAAGTGGACAGAAGCAGTGAATGAAGAAGAGAAGGAAAGAGAAAGGGGGAGAAGTAAAAAACATGCAAAATTAGTTGAAGCGGAGGCTGAGGCCCAAGGCAGGGGCGATCCCCTACAATGGGGGAGATACATATGCGAAAAGAAAAATATTTTTATGTTTATTATATACTGTATATCTATCGATTGTATTTCTATACAATGTGTATGTATCTGTATATACAGATTTGTACATATATATGTGTGCAAAAATACATATATATTCATATATACATATACACATACATATATACTTTATATATATACATACATACATACATACATATATATATATATATATATATATATATATATATATATATATATATATGCATATATTTACATATACATACATATGTACTTGTATATGTACACATATACATGTGTATGTACACATTTATTTATGTGTGTATATGTGTATATATATATATATATATATATATATATATATATATATATATATATATATATATTTAAAGATATATTAATATCATATATATATATATATATATATATATGTATATATATATATATATATATTTAAAGATATATTAATATCATATATATATATATATATATATATAGATATAGATATATATATATATATATTTAAAGATATATTAATATCATATATATATATATATATATATATATATATATATATATATATATGTATATATTTAAAGATATATTAATATCATATATATATATATATATATATATATATATATATATATATATATATATATATATCTATGTATACACACACACACATATATATATATATGTATTTATATATATATATATTGCATATATATTTATACATATACATTATATCCATATACATTATATCCACACACACACACACACACACACACACACACACACACACACACACACACACACACACACACACACACACACACACACACACATATATATATATATATATATATATATATATATATATATATATATATATATATATATACACGACATATGTTCTGTGAGATAGATGGGGAAAAGGATATTAGCTATTTATTTTATGAAAATAGCCTCAGTGAAGGCTTGTGAAGCATATAATGTAATTTTACAAAGACGCCTGTAAAATGTATATATATCAAGGCTAACGCAAAATAGAAATTCAGATACGTATGAACATGATTTTTAAGGGGTAACTTCAGTGGATTATAAGGTTCTCGACCTTATGAGAGACCGGCCTAGGCAAAGCCTAATAGGCTCACATACACTAATTACAAGGTTATTCAATTTCTTCTAAACAATTTCACGTCATTTTAGATAGAAAAATAGAATAGGTCGTATAGTTTTAGGAGGCGCATATATATACCAACACCGCGTGTAATTTTTAATGTGAGGCGAGGAAAGGAAATGAACATCACCATTATGAGGAAAAAAATAACAATGAACCGGAATCTTTAAGAGCAAAACTGAACCGCTTAAAATTTATAAGAATCGGGTTCTTTCAACCTAAAATCCCAATGCTTTATCATTTATCCAAAAGAGAATTGAAAGTAAGTGCAACTTGCAGTTTGACTCATATAACAGAAACCGGCAGCTGAATGTAGCCTAAAGAGCTTCGGGTAGAGACGATAAAGGATTGAAGTGCGCCGCGAAGAGACTGGATTCTGTTGCGGACGCCGAGGCAAGTTGTCTATATTTAGAATTGTTTTTGTCTTATCATTTGACAACTTGTTTCCGGAAATGTGGAAATTTGTAGCTGACGCTGAAGTTAGATTTTGAGATAACACTGACCTCGGCTTGGGTAAGATACGAAAGTGTAGAGAAAAGAATGAGCTAAAGTGCAAAAGAGTGAGAAAGGCCCGCGCACCTTGCTTATGGTCGTAGTGTTCTTAGTAACACTTGGGGGGGGAAAGGTAGAGTAAGTGTTACGTTATGTTTTAGTTTCGATGTGCAATTTCCGAACGAATATGGACCAAGATGTACAACTATACAGAAGTATAGTTGCTAAAGAGGACTAAATTCATGAACGCTTATGCAACAGTGGTTTTGAAAATGTGAGTATTAGTGTTTCTGCCGTGGTGGACTCGTGTGAGGTCAAATACAAACTGGACACTTACCAAACAAATATTCATTGAAGTTTCTGTGGCGTTGTGTGATGTTTGCTTTGATAATTCAGTAATATTTAGAAAATGGAATTCTTATATGGGTTTAATACACTAGTCTGCTGATCACTTTAGTAAATTGTTAGGTGTGCTTACTGTTTGCACATCACAGACATGTACCTAGAAATAATATCAGGCCTAATACCTGTTAAGGTATAACAGGTGCAAGGACAACTGATATATGACTGACTGTCTGTGGTCACCATGAAGAGAGTGAGCAGCACCTGGAGTTATTTGAGAACCCAGAGAGGAGGAGAGAAGGGAGGAAATAGGGGGTGGTGGAAAGAATGCTTGAAGAATGTAATTTTTGTATTGTTCCACTAGACATGATGTATTCAGCTGGCTATAAAGTAGGAATGTTTGAGAATGGTGTTTGTTAATGAGAGCAACACACCTTTCAGAGATGGTGTGTCTCTTTTTGCTCCATCATGTAAACCCAAAAATTCAAACCAAACCTTTCCTACCTTCTGTTTATTCCCAGGACAGGGGAGGGTCAAGCCACCCTATAACCTCCCTTTATTAGCACTCTGTGCCAACGTATAGACTCAGTCTCTGAGCAGTGAAATGCAGCAGTAACTGTACCTGTGTTGTTTATGACTCTTATTTGTTATGCTCTATTAGATGGTGGTGTCCATTTCCCTCCACCTCTTTTCATTTCTATTGGTAGTATTAACTTTTGAGAATTATTATCATCATCATCTAATAATGACACTGGTAATAGAACAACAAAGGACTGAAAAAGAAAACGCGCAAATATGCTGAAGGTCTTGAAGAATGTGCCGAGAAGAAGTAATAAAGTAAAAAGGCCTTCAGAATATTAGTGTGTTTTCTTGCTCTTCCCTTTGTTGTTCTATTTTCAGTTTGACAATGATGACACTGTATCAGAATGTGTCATTATTATGTAAATTTCTGTATTTTGCTGAAAAAGCTCCAACAACAATATTTTTATGCTCAAATGCCAGTATTAGTGTATATAGCCTATTGGGTGTTATGATAGTTATTATTATAGTTTTTGAGATACATGTATTACTAGGTACATACATTGTACAACAAATTGGTAGATTGAACATGTAGAATTTTTTATGATATAGATATTACAAATTTGATATATGAAAGTTATGATTTATAAGATACTACTAAATAAATACTAAAGCTGGTGACAAGTGGAGAATTTGTAAATGTCTGATAATAACCATCATATTTGTAGGTCTCGGAGATTATTTTGGGCTAATTAACTAGTTCAAGCTCTGTCTTCCCAGAACATAGTTGGTTTGTGAGCTTATCTAAGAGTGCCAGAATAGTTAATGCATTTACCAGTATCATATTAATTTTATTTTCAGTTTATGCCAACTTCCTTATAGAAGAAAGATGTCATAGAATACCTTGAGGTTTTAATTCCTTAAAAATTTTCTTTCGTTTTATATGTATGTCAGAAACTGCAATTCTGCCTACATAATTTTGGAATTAAGTCAATCAAAATCATATCTAATACATTACAGAATTATAGACATTACCATGTAAAGTAACAGAAGAGTCTTCCTGGTAATGTTATTTTAGTAACTGTGGCAGCAGCATCTATTGCAATAGTCAATTACTTTTAGTTACTCCTAAACTGTGTTATATGTGCATAAATAAAGATAATGAAAAAAAGTCAACATTTTGAACAGCTGCTGGTGAGAAACTAACCATTTTATTTCATTAGCCAAATGTGTGTACAGACACTAATAGGCCTATAAATTAGAAAACATAATTGCAGTTGGTGCCTGTTATATCCTATATATTGCAAGAGTGTATTAGCATTATGTGCTCAGTGAATTATAATCGCCCAGAGTACTGATCAAGTGTTCAGGAGTTCTAGTTTCTGTTGCTGTGAGTGATTAGGACCTCAGCTATTCTTGGCAGGGGAAGGTGACAGCATGTAAGACCTGCAGGTTGAGGTTATGAGGTGTTTGAATTATCTCTGCATTATTGTCTGGTTAGTAAGATTTATATATCAGCTTGCTAAATTCATACATCCATATTGTAGATATAAATGAATATCTGTGTAAACAGGTGAAGCCGTCTATGTGTAAACAAAATTGACAAATGAAAATATTGGGAAAAGTTGAGGATATTGTTTGAAAGCCAAATATATGGGGTAAATATAGGGTTCAACATTAACTCTGTATGGCTTAATTCATATTTTTTGCTATAGGAGGATAAATATCTGAAATTTTTGAAGTATAAAAATCAGATTTT